GACTCACCAACGAAGTGAAATTCATAAAAACTTAATCAAACCTGAGTCAGGGAGTAGGCAATCACCATCATCTGTTCAAAACAGGCCTGCGACGTTACGTAACTCGACACATTTGCAAGGGTGACAAGCATATACTTTAAACACACGAATAACACGAGGTAAGCTTCTAAAAGATAAAATATGCTTAAATGTTTCAAAGATCAACGTTAATGTCTTTGTACAAAAGGGTGATTAGACCACTCATGGAATATGGGGATGTTATCTGGAACAACTGACATAATTGTTGTTCAGCTTTTCTGGATAGTGTGAAACCGCTGTTTGATATGTTTTCATTATCCTTCCACGTGAAAATGTATGGATTGTAAAGGGAAATTCCTGTTTAATCATTCCCGGAAGTGAATCAATCGTCATCAAAACGAACAAATCCTCTATCAGATGGCACTGAGGTAAATCATCATCATGTTTTCAAAACAGGCCGGTGACGTTACGTAACTTGACACATATGCCGCAAGAGAAACAGGAATATACGTTTAACACAAAAAAGGTGTTTCGTGTTGACATAATCTAGTTTTTGTTTTTGCTTTGTCTCGCTCATACATCGCCAGTCAGATTTCCCGTTGCCAATTGCAAAAGCTGTTCAAAAGTTGATCCGGGGTTATGTTCCAGCCGCGTGCAACGTCTACTCAAGGTTGCATCATCAGACGTGTTTCGTAGAAAGCAGGATTTGCCAAAGGGAGTTTATATTGAAGTGATTACACCAAAAAGGACTTACGAAAAAAAAACCAACAAACTTAGGGTGATTGAGATATTGGACTCTATGGGATTGAGTTGGTAAAGAATGTTAATTTGTGACCTCATGACAGCCGATGCTTGTCTGCGTATGGCTACAGTTTTGAACCTTTCACAACTTAAAATTAAAAGTTCATTGAGAGCTTTATCAGCAATTCATCGCAGCCAATTATTTCAAATTTAATGTTTCGTCGTTTCTAAAATCATCATTATCGAGGGACGATGGCATACTGTTTCTTTGGTGTCTCAATACTTCATACGGAAACAGCCTTTAAGGTATTTAGTTTTGTACACGGTTATGTAATTATCTTCGAATTTAAAATCTTCGCGACTAGCAAATTTCGCGATTTCGCGAAAAAAATGTTGCGAAAATCAGGAATGCGAGATCAGAAGATGCGGAAAAGGCAGCTTATTTCTTGTACAGTTCAAAGGTCTATCAAAATGTCCTACCCAAAATTTTTTTGGGTAGGACATTTTGATAGGACATTTTGGTAGGACATAGGACTAGTGCAGTTCAACGGTGTATGAAAATGTCTTGCCCAAACTTATTTCAAGCCCTAGCTCGTAACGGCAAAGCTGAATCGCAACTCATTGAAAAGTTCTTTCTGAATTAGAGGAAAATGAGCTGGTGGTGCCTTTTATAATGGTCGACAAATATATATCTATTCTTATGATGAGTCAATCATTTGCTTTCTCATAAAAAGAGTTTTAAATGACCAAGATTTGGACGGTTCTTCTATTGATACGAATAATCAGAAACTTTGATAACAAATTTGCCGGCGTTGTAAAAACATTAGTAAGGTATTATCACGTTTTTTGAACTGAATGATGCATTGCACCCTGTGTTGGAAAACCGGTTTCATCGAGAATAACCTGTTTTGATGCGTCAATCATTCATTGTTATTTGCCTTGCTTTTGCCTTTGAATTGATGCGCCCAGGCCCAGCATAATCAGTCGAGCAAGTCAGTAACAGTGTGAACTACTACAGCTTACGAGTCTTTGAATTCTTTTTGCAAGAAAGTCTTCCTGCGAGCTCTATATGGCGTCATCTAAGCTAGTAAGTGACTCAGTCCTGAGGTTAACCAAGGGGTTCGATTAAATACTGTCTCAAATTTTTTCATTGAGGAGCTAAAGCTATAGCATTTGATCTTCGATCTCTGTGACACTCCCTAAATACTATCGTTTCTAAGTAGAATATTGCAGTTTTTTAAAACGCTTTCATCCTGAGGAAATATTACCAGTGCATGTCGTTTCTGATGCTAAGTATCCTAAAAGAGAGTGACGAATGACGATGTTATTATTATTGTCGATTGCATGGTTTTCGTAGGATAGAAAAAAGCGGTAATCACATTGAGAATGAGCTCTTCGGACCACTAATAAAAGCAAAAAAAGAGCTAAGTTCATGAAAGCAATGTTTTCTCCCTGTTAATGAATCAAATTGTATCTAAGCTAATGAAGTGCAAAATGAGGAAGACCTAAACTATTCCGTTTGATCTTGATTACATTAGAACTATCAGAAGTAGAATGTAAGATATGCCTCAGGTTAAGAAAATGATAAAGTCGTTCAACTTGTAGCCATAGAACGTTGCAAGCCCACAGTTTCTATTTGGCAAGATATTGCCTTTATATCACAAAACAATATCTTGATGTGTCGCCAGTTTCGTCTTTCGTCTCGCTTAGTCATCTGCACAAAAGAAATTATTGTTATGTAATCTATCGCTCTTACGTAACATAGACACAACGTATTTATGAGACGAAATTACTATAGTTGATCGGTTTAGTTTTTTCATTTCAATGAATAAACTGCCTGTTGATTCGTAACTTGTCGCGAATTTGTGACCATATGACCGCCAATGCTTGTCTGCGTATAGCTACTGTTTTGAACCTTTCACAAAAATTAAACGTCGATTGAGAGCTTTATCAGCAATACATCGCAGCCAATTATGTCAAATGTTTCATCGTTTCTAGCATCATCGTTATCGAGGGACGATGGCACACTGTTTCCTTGGTATCTAAATACCACATATAGAAACAACCCTTGTGGTATTTCGTTTCGTACGCGATTATGTAATTATCTTCGAATTTAAAATCTTCGCGACTGCCAAATTAAGCGCAATTCGCGATTTAGGGAAAAAATGATGTGAAAATCAGGAATGCGAGATCAGGTGATGCGGAAAAGGCAGATTATTTCTTGTACAGTTCAAAGGTGTACCAAAATGTCCTACCCAAACTTATTTTAAGCCCTAGTTCGTAACGGCAAAGCTTAATCCGGTTCTAGGGAAAGACTGGATTTGAGCACTTGTTAAAACTGATGAGGGCGCATTGAAAAGTTCTTCTGAATTAGATCGATAAGCGGGTGGTGCCTTTGTATGATGGTCGACAGATATATATCTATTCTTATGATAAGTCAAGTATTTGCTTTGTCAAAAAAGAGAGTAAAATAAACAAGATTTGGACGGTCTTTATATTGATATGAATAATCAGAAACTTGATAACAAATTTGCCGGCGTTGTAAAAACACTAGTAAGGTATTATCACGTTTTTTGAACTGAATGATGCATTGCACCCTGTGTTGGAAAACCTGTTTGATCGAGAATAACCTGTTTTGATGCGTCAATCATCCATTGTTATTTGCCTTGCTTTTGCTTTTGAATTGATGCGCCCAACCCCAGCATAATCAGTCGAGCAAGTCAGTAACAGTGTGAACTACTAGAGCTTGCGAATCTTTGAATTCTTTTTGCAAGAAACTCTTTATGCAAAAAAATTTACAGCTCCACATGGCGTCATCTAAGCTAGTAAGTGATTCAGTCCTGAGGTTAACCAAGGGGTTCGATTAAGTATTGTCTCAAATTTTTTATTTAGGGGCTGAAGCTATGGCGTTTGATGTTCAATCTGTGTGACACTCCCTAAATACTGTCTTTTCTAATTAGAATATTGCATTTTTGAAACTCTTTTATCCTGAGGAAATATTACAGGTGCATGTCGCTTTTGATGCTAAGTATCCTAAAAGAGAGTGACGAATGATGATTTTATTATTATTGTCGTCCATTGCATGGTTTTTGTAGGATAGAAAAAAAGCACTAATCACATTGAGAATGTGCTCTTTGGACGACTAAGAAAAGCGAAAAAAAGCTAAGTTTATGAAAGAAATGTTGTATCCCTGTTAATGAATCAAATTGTTTCCCAACATATGAAGTGCAAAATGAGGAAAACCTAAATTATTCCGTTCCCTCGCAAGGCCCAAAGAAAAAGTGGATTGAAATGTCGTGCTTCTTCTTGATTTCATTCGGTTTAGAAATCCAGTTAATGGTTAGTTTTTTTTGTCTTTTCAAATCAAAGCTGTTGACGCCATGGTTGGTCTTTTACTATTATGAATGCATAAACAGGGGAACTAGTTAGAAGACAAAGCCACAGGCTTTATAGGAACCATTAATTTTCGAGAAGTTTCCTAGTACATATTAAGTTAATCCAATTCAACAAGTCCGCTATTAAACCCTAAAAGTAAACAAACAGAAGATACGCCCCAAGTTAAGAAGATGATAAAGTCGTTCAAATTGTGGCCATAGAAAGTTACAAGCCCATATTTTCTATTTGGCAAGACGTCGTCTTTATAAAAATAAACAATATCTTGATGTGTCGCCAGTTTCGTCTTTCGTCTTGCTCAGTCATAAGGCCAAAAGGAATCATTGTTATGTAATCTATCGCTCTAACGTAACACAGACACAACGTATTTATAAGAGAAAATTACCATAGTTGATCGTTTTAGTTTTTCCTTTTAATGAATAAACTGCCTGTTGAAAGAACTAAGCTGTAAGATATGCCTCAGGTTAAGAAAATGATAAAGTCGTTCAACTTTTAACCATAGAACGTTGCAAGCCCACAGTTTTTCTATCTGGCAAGACATTGTCTTTATAACACAAAATAATATCTTGATGTGTCGCCGGTTTCGTCTTTCGTTTCGCTCAGTCATCCGCACAAAAGGAATATTGTTATGCAATCTATCCCTCTTACGTAACACAGACACAACCTATTTATGGACGAAATTGCCATAGTTAATCGTTTAGTTTTTCATTTTCATGAATAAACTGCCTGTTGAAAGAACTGAGCTTAATCAGTTAAACTCAGAACTTTCTATTTCGAGCGATTAAAGTAGTATTTGAGCAACACACTCCGCGTTAAAATTTTGACTGTAATGAAAGCTGATCGACAAGATGTCTCTACAATCACAAGATGTCAACCTAGTCAGCCCTGTGGAAATTAATGTGCTCGAGCGAATTTGGAAAGTACAAAATACACCCATTTATTCGAAGTTACTTAATGGTGCGCACAACTTCAAAACTCTCTTTCTGGCCACAAACGCAGTTCTCGGTCGCTTTGTAAGCATGATTTTGTAAATGCTTTGGGTCAATCGTTCTCTCGCTAACCTCACAACTATATTGGTCTAACAGCTATGATATGCTAAATGTATGGCCCCAAATGGTAAATGTTTTGGATTCTGGCTGTCATAAAAAAGGAATCGTTGAGCCTTAGATTTTCCGTTTATCTTTCAACCTTTTAGAAGTCAGACGTCACCGTAGATTACATATCGAAGAACTGCCCAGCATTTCTGGGTGGTGGCTGCCCATATGCCAAGCTTGCCCAAGAAAAGAAAGGCATCTGTGCCAAATGTCCTCCTTTCAACAATGGCTGCCCTTTCAAACAATGCAAGACCGTGGGTGAGCTTCAAGACATGATGGGTCAGATGCGTGACCAGTCCAAAGGCGAAGCTCAATGGATCGAGTTTTTGAAGGATGTCGTCTTTCTTAGTAAGGAAAAACACGTGGAGTACGGAACTGTCTCCCATCAAAGCTTCTTCAAGGGTGGCTGCCCCTTTGCCAAAGACACCGAAGGAAATGAGATTTTGAAACCTGTATACACTGTGGTAAGTAATTTCGATTTCAGAATGAAAATATTGAATTGAAACCATCAATAAAGAGCTTTCTAACGTATAGCGTAGATGCAGGAATTTCTTTTCTTTACCCAGTTTTTTAAGCAATGCCAAACAGTTGTCACTGTGTAGTGTTTTTCCCACTTTCAGAGCAAATCTCGAAACATGAATCATTCTACAGGAGCTGAATCTTACCTGAAATGAAGAAAATTGTGATTAGCTCACGACTGATTTATTTGAGCTGTTGTGTAACGGTTCCCAGTGAATGTTCTTGTTCCTAGTTCAATTCTATCTTCCCTTTAACCTGCAGTATCCATATTCTTTGACGGTTGAAGAGATCGTCAAGAAGTGCCCAGTTTTTGGCAAAGGTGTGTGCCCTTATAAAGGTCTTGCTGATGAAATGAAAGGAATTACCGGAAACTGCCCTGGTTTCAAACACGGATGTCCTTTCAAGAACCTGACAACCATGGGTGAGTACGTGGGCAAACTGGCCGAAATGCGAGATACGATAGGCACTCCTAAGGGTCGAGCTGCATTCGAGAAGTTGATGAAGAGGGTTCATGAGATCTCCAAGGAGGCTGAGAAGAAGGCTGGACCTTGGCCATTCCCTCCAGATACCTGCCCAATCTTTGCCCGTGATGCACATGGAAAGCGCATCATGCCAAAATACAATTAGGCTTCCTCACAGTGGAAGGAGAAGGATCTGACAGAGCCAACTGGCGTTTAAGTAGCTTTTTCAGAAATGACTTTTAATTCCATGTCGTTGTCTTGTTTAAGAGTAGGTTTTTAAGTCAGTCAGTTTCCTCCCGATATGTTAACTTTTATATACAGGTTGTGGTTTTGGGATCTTTATTGGTTGGGTGAGAAGCCTCGGTATAAGATGAGATGATGAGATAGGTATGAAATTATCTATGGAGAGCTCCCGCTCATTCAGCCGGGCTGTAACGACCCTATTTCTTAGTGTAGCGTGTATGGAACTGCCTGAGCAAGTGATGCTACTTTCTAATATTTTGTTATATGTGCTCCTTGCTACTAGATGTTTCGGTGTTGGGCTTTTTTTGAAGAGGTTTTTTTTACTTATCTGGCAATAAACAACTCCCCTCCCTGTTTTTAAAGTGTTTATCCTATAACGAGATTAATGTAGGGATTTCGGGTCATTCTTTGGTCATAATCGCATCTGATCTTGTATTCAAGCGCAGCTTCAACGCTGTAACAGTGTTCAACCTTTTATCTAGGAATAGAAGAACAATAAAGCTTTTATCTTTGGGGTTTTAAAATGATTGTCACGTTTAGTTTGTGGTGATTTAACCTCGACAACCTTTTTCTGCATGGGGTTCTTAAAGGAAAATTAACGTGAAATTATATCAGTATGTTTTTATGTGTGGGCGGCCACTCGCCATCTCAGTTGCAATCAAGTTCGCATATATTGTTGAATCATGTCCTTTATCTTAAGTTTACTGTCAACAAAATAGGGTGCCTTCCGGACAAATCGTCCCACGTGCGCTACTTTTAAGGAAACCATTAAAAAAGCTGTGGCGTTCCAACACCGCCAAAGTTTTATTCAAACATACAAACATTAACTTGTACTTTGCAGTATCAACTGTAAACTTTCAACTTGTGATTCAAACATTTATATAAGCCTTTTGAAATCCAATTAGAACATTTAATCCTATGCTCCAAACACACAAATAGTCTGCAAAAAGTTTCAATCAATCAGGTTTAACCACAGGCAGCCCAAGTTCTAGCTGTGATACGATCATCTTACGAAATAAGAGTCATGGTGA